AATACACCACTGCGTTCAGGGACCACCAATTGAAATAGATCCGACTGACCCGGATCGCCTTGGTATGCGATCCGGGCCAGTCACAATTAGGCAGCGGCAGCCAATAAACAGGTAGGTTAGACGGCTGATTCCTCCTCGCTAGGACACCCGGGAGGCCCCTACAAGCGGCCGTCTAATCTGCCTGTTTAGAGGTCACCGCCGTTGCCTGATTGTGACCGGCCCGACTACAGAGGCGATCCGGGACGTTCGGGTCCCCCGTGAGAGCCGTACAAGGCCGTAAGGCAGTGATGTTGAACGTTTCTTAAACCCGAGCGCCCAAACTGCAATACTAAACTTATTTTCAGCGCTGGGACTTTGAGATAAATAAATTGATTTTGCATCGCAGTTTGGGCACTCGGGTTCAAAAAGGTTCGCCATCACTGTTCTAGGATGTGAATGATCCTGGCTCAATCATCTCTACAAAACACACGACAAGATCTGAAGTTTTCATTTACAATATTGTACCGTGCTGTATGGTGTTCGAGGACTTAAATGACACATGGAGGACAAGAAAAGAATTAAAAATGACAGTGAACTATGAATTTCCACGGATATGGCCACACGTGTATCCTGTAAACGTTTCACATCATTAAGCATATGTTCTCCTAGTCACACAAGGTTAGAACTCTTTTTTTACAAGCTATAGCCGCTCAGCAAGCCTGACAAGAAATCTCTGGCTGGAACCAGATTCCGGGCTGCACAATGCAGAAAAACAAAGTCTGATTTCATCTTGCTGAATACACATTTAGTACAATGAGCTGGAGGATGTCATTAAAACTTGTCCCCAAATCCCAACAGCTGAGTGTCATCAGAAAATGTCACTGTGGCCATGTGCAGTCCATTCTCTGATGTCCTGAACGTGTTTGCTGCGCAGTGTTTTCAGCGAGAGGGTCAGTCGGGTATTTCTGGCATTTGTCTGACAAGTCACTTACTAATTTATAGTAAAGTTTAACTAGCGTTTTCCCCGGCCTTGTCATCAGTCCGCACGCAGTAGGATACGGCAAGCAAAAGGCGACACTTCAAACAATATAATCAGATGAGATAATGTCGCCCGATTCATCCACGTGGATAAAAAACTTTCCGTGGTTATAAACCCCTGCAGTCTTCCCGGTGTGATCCTAACACCAGATTCTTAGTCTCTAGGTTACAGAGCTCACTTTGGTGTTAAGGTAGGCCTTCACCCGTGGAATTAATGTCCTTTCATCATAATTTTTTTGTTAGAAGTCCTTGCCTAGGAGGAGGTAGGACCGGCCACCAGCAGCCTCCTGGCACGTCCATGTCACAGTATTTCCGTCTGAAATTCAGTGCGCGCGCAAAAGTGCTGCAGGTCTCTGCCAGGTCCCATATACAGTACTGTGCAAAGGTTTTAGGCAGGTGTGAAAGAATGCCGTAAAGTAAGAAAAAAAAAAGTATCAATAGTTTATTTTTATTAGGGATGCACTAATACTGGTTTTTCGGTATTGAGTACCGATATTTTTTTTTCCGGTACTCGCCACTACAAAGTACCGATACCGGTGACCTAATTATCAGGAAGCCAGGTGGCGGATCATGACCCGGGAACTATCGAAAGAATATTGGTTTCACTTCCCGAGGCAGCCTGGCTTTCTAACCAATCAGGAAGCCGGGAGGCGAGTCATGACGTGCCG